CAAAAGGCAGGCGCTTTCCCAATTTTAAAACAGAGAGGGTGTAACCATGTGTAATGTGAGTCTCGATTTTGATTGTAGGGATGATGAAATCAAATCCCTCCTTAATCCTTACTGGGAAACATTGAGGTGAATTACCCTGCCTGCTTTTGCTAACTTGTTTAAGTCCTTTTGAAAAAGAAATGTGTTTTAGTGTCATCCAGAATGTCTCCCTGCTTTACCCCAGAGACTAGGAAAGCACTGGACCATTGTGCTCAATGCAATGAAAAACAAAAAGAGAAGGAGAATAGATAAAACCAAATATATTATTTTCCTGGAAAAAAAAACGCAGTGCTTTCCAATAGGCAGCTCCTTCCAGCGCTGCCATTTTTAAGCTGGATGCTTAGTCATTATTAATGACAGTATAGTCCTTCAAAGCTGCTGTATTTTGGGAATAACTGGAACTGAAACTTTCTTTTTCTTCCCCCCGTAAGGTTAGTTAAAATAATATACAGTTGTCTGTGTGCACTGCAGTCACTGTGCATGTACCGGCTGGAGTATTTTTGGGACAAGTGAGGAAGTTTATTCCAGTTATTTCATTTATGACAAAGTCGTAGCTTGAACTTGAGAAGAGCTCCCTGTTGGTGTCATTCAACTGTGCTGTGCTGTGGTTGGAGGCTCTCGATACTACCACTACTTTACAAAGTATTTGGCATAAGCTCATAAAATCACTGAGACTTTTTTTTCTCCCCTCCCCCTTAAACCCTCTTAATTTTGTTCCTTGGTAGTGTGGCAGTACATCCCCCACTTGTGCACACAAATATCTTTAAGGTTTAATTAATTCAATAAAAATAGCTGAAGTATTTAAGGAGGAGTGCCTTAAAAATAATAAAGGAGAACATCTTGTTCATTCTTGCCATTGCTCAAATGGAGGAAAGCAGCTGGTATAACTGTGGGCTTTTCCTGATGGGATTATGCCAAGTCCTGTGTCAGGACCTTGCATCAATTGGTGTGAAGTACCTAAATAGCTGGAGGTTAAGTAGAAAAGCATCTTTTTTAAGTAGCTGAACTAATAAGAGTAAGCTTGTGTGAATCAACAGAAGTAGAAAATGATGTTTCCAGGATGGAGAAAAATAATTCTCTAGCAATTAGGCCTCCGCGGATTCCAAGCTTTACTATTGCTGGGGTCCACATTCATCCCACCTAAATTTCGACACTCATCATATTCAATCAAAGTGAAAGGTGGCCAGATTCATCTTTTGGATGTGCATCCCGCCCTTGATCTCACAGGAGACCTTCCCTTAGGCATCTTCAGTGGGATGAGCATTGGCCAAGGAGTCTCACCCAGCAAATCCTCGACTGTTTTACTCGTCTGCAGTCACTCTGGGAATATGCCTTTTCAGGTGAGGTCCTTCTCCATAGGGAACAGGAGGGATGGCTCATCTGCAGGGAGAAGGTGGCTCTGAAACCCTTTCACAGCTTTGGGACTTATAGTGCGCTTTAAAAGCCCTGTTTCCTTCATCCTAGTGGCCCTAAAGCCTCAGGTCTATACCTAGTTGCAATCATTAAATCAGAAATATCCAGTGTTACTGGCAGGGAGAGTGCATATATCATCAATTTGCTCCTTTTTATAAGTGGTTGATCACTTCTGCTGTGCTTCAGGGAAGCTACGTGAGAAAGCTTTTGTGCTTGTTTGTGAATAACAGCAGGGATAAATGGTGTTTCTCCAGCTTGTCAATTATTTGTTCTTTTCTTGCCATTCACTGTTTGAGTTCTTGATCTTGATGAAGGTATTATTTAATTCCTGCATTTCTGAGCCCTTAACCTTGGACAGATAGATAATAGGCCTGTGTTTAGGCACTACTGGGGTGCTTTAAGCAAGCTGTTTTTCTTTGAAGCTAAGAGTGACTAAGCCTGGGAAGTTTTCTGTTCTTCCTCATCTCCTCGTGGTAGTTAATAGACTTCACAAGGGATCTCGAGACACTCTGATAAGCCTTTGAAGTTATTACCTACTAAGGTTTTGCTCTTTCAGAGTGCTGAACGTTGAATTACTGACTGCTGTTAGAAGCAATGAGAAAGGATTCACAAAGCCGACAAAGCCTTGCCTATAATTTCTGCAGAAAAAGAGCTGAATTTAATGGATAAATTGTGTTGCTGGGGAGATTTTGATTCCGTTCCCTCCTCTGTCACCAGTTTGCCTTGTGATTTGTGGTAGCATTTTCAGTTATGCCAGTCACATGAGATCAAAACCCATGAGTCAGACTCCACCCAAATCATGAGCCTGGCTTCCAGATCCAGGAGCTTTGAACAGAGATCATACCGTTCTTTAGTTTATCTTTAGTTTCTGGAATTTCCTCTGTCTATTCCCAATGTGTCTCTAGCAATTAATGTTTCCCACTCTTTTGGAAGTGTTGGGAAGATATTTTGACCTTTTGGAGCTGTTGGAGGCCTCGTTTGACCTCCACAATTAATTTTATTTTTAATGTCTAAGTGAATCTTGTTTCTTCCAGACTCTGCATCTTTCTCCTGTCTCAAATGACTTCTCCATCCCTTATCCTCACATGACCCATCACTTCTGTGTCTTCATTGCCATTCATCGGCTTTGTTCCCCCAATAATCCTCTCTGATCTCAAGAGTTTTTTTCACTATTGCCTTGTAGGATGGAGAATGTGTAAAAAGATGCAGATCTGGGTAACCCTTAACCTTTGTATGAGAATATATAATTGGAGAGAGCAGGGAAATGGTCTCCCTGAGGCTCTTTCCTGAAAAAGGTGAAATGTTACTTGCAGCACAAGAAGTGGGTGCTGAGGACAGGTGGGAGATGGAGACCTGCAGGAGGGCTGGAGCTTTGCATGTCATTGTGAGATGAGACACCTTTGCTAGCAGGGAGTTCACAGGACTTGGTAAATCAGGGTTTTACACTCTGAAGCGAGTCAGGTGAAGAGTGAATCAGACTCGGTGGAGATATAAGCCACAGTAAATCCAAAGAAGGTAAGATGAGAGTCAGCCCTTCTGTCTGCACACTTTTGCCCTCTAATTCAGTCGATGATCTGTTTTTCTTCAAATTTTGGATTTGTAATGTACTGTTTGTAGACTCAGTTAGCCAACTCCATTATGAAGGATATGATTATGACTGAGATGGTGAGACAGCCAAGGGAAAATTTGGTGTCGTATGTCTGTTTTCTCCTATAGCATTTGCCTCTTTTCAGGAAGGGTAAGAAGTTAAAAGCTCTTGGCAATGTTTTAACAAGCCAAATGTGACTTTGCAGTAATTGTTGCATTCAACACGATGGTGCCTGGTATTCCCATGGTAACATTGTCATTGTTTTGCCATGAAATTTGCAGAACAGAGAGAGCAATTTAACAAAATTTTTGCAAAACTAGTCTATTCACACCTCAGGCAGATGGGAAAATGCATCTTCTCTTGCTCATTCTCATTCCATACCACTCTTTCACCCACATTGTTTGCTGGTTCTTGCCTATGCCATGTGCCAGGCATATTGCAGACCTGTAATGTCAGGTAAAAGAGCAGCCAAACTGTTCCCCTGTATCCAAATACCTCTGGAGTCTGAGTGTTTGAAACCAAATCTGAACCCAGTGAAAAACTCTTTACATAGCCCTAAACTTTATGGCGGGTTGTCTCCAAGCCTGCAATCCACACTCGCTCCAGTTTGGTGGATGGGAAATCTGGAATTTGTTTTTAAACCCAGAATCATCAAAAGCTGCGTTTAAGACATGAGAAAGATTCATGAAGCCTACCAGAAAATCTTTCAGCTAAACATTTCACATGCAAACATTCTCATACACATTCACATGCTACCTGAATGTGTAGCAACTGGACACATCTCAAAATGTTTTTACTTGTGCTATGAATGTCTCATAGAACTGCAATAATTAGAAAGTATTCCTTCTTTAAGACAGAGAAATGCTACCTCACAGCTTGAATATTAATAAGATAAAATTTATGAGAGCAAACAGAGTAATAAAATATTTTCTCCAAAGGAAAAGGGCATGTATTTGCTTAGTTCTTTCATCAGCCGTTTTCGGACACACACTGTGTGCATAAAATACAGTTATGCAACCCATGTGGGTCAACAACGGAAGGTTGGTTGCTTCACCAGGATTATAAGAATCCTTTAAACACAATGGTGCCACAAATTAAAATAGAAATCTATCAAAACCATTATCGTCCTGAAAGCTTTGGCCACAAGCGTAATTATTGTAGAAGGATGTTGTCCTTGGACGCAGCTTTGGCTCGGTTCAGCTGGTGTTATTTGTATCCCTCCATGGCTCAAAGTCAGAATTTGCATGGCTAAGGACCATAAATTTTTAGAGGAAAAAATAGGCCGTTTCCTCAATGCTAACACTAGCAGTTTTTTACTGTTTTGTAGTGGTTTGTAGGCAACTCATTAGGTACCAGAGATAGGAACAGACAGAATGTGGTGGCTGAAATCTGCCTTGAACCTTGGAAGGATTCAGATGGGGATTTGTGTCTGGATCTGGTTGTTTCTGTCTGAGGCTGTTGCTTTACTGGATGTGAAGAAGAACGAGTGAATGTCTGGAGTGCTTGGGTTTTAAATCTAGATCTGAAAGTCCTCATTTTGGATAGTAAAACTGTGAAGCAAATCTTGAGCTGATAGAAGCTGCAGTCCAAAGAATTAAATAAAGCTGAAAACCTGTCCTGAGTTTTCTAGTGTGTCTGTGAGGCCAGCAGTCCTGTAGGGACAAGAGTGATTGAAAGAATATACAGTCTCCTGGAGGTTGCTTGCCATCGGCAAGGGACACATCTCCTTTACCCAGAGCTGCCCTCAGGAGAGGCCCAAGGTTGCTTTCTTAAGTTCCTGATGAAGGCTGAATGCTGGAGTAACTCCATTCTTGTGATGATGGCAAACTATATTAAATAACAGGCACTGTTGGTTATTTTTAAACTGGTTCTTTTTATTTCAAAATCCAATTTTCCATCTTGAGGGAGGCAAGTGACTAACAAGTCTGAAATCCATTTCTCCTCTTTTTCCATCCCTCAGGCTGGTATAGATGGAGAAAGCATTGGGAACTGCCCATTCTCCCAGCGTCTCTTCATGATCCTGTGGCTCAAAGGAGTTGTGTTCAATGTCACCACTGTTGACCTGAAAAGGTAAAAATCATTCAGTTTAATTGAAAATAGTTCTATGATCCAGTGTTTCCCTACAGAAAGGCCCCACCAAAGTTCAATCAGATTTGTGTCTGGCCTCGAGAGGGTGAGGTGCACAACAAAATTGTTAGGATTCAGGTTAGGGTTTGGTTTTGGTTTTGATTTTTTTTTTTCACTTGTGGAATGTTTTTATATTAAACAGGGTGCTTGGGGTAGTTTCAAAGTTCTTTAACCACAAACTACAGAAAAAAAAAGAAAAGAGCAAACAACTGATTTTGTAGGAACTATAAATATCTGTGCAACTACCTGACCGTAAAGATTAGTGATTTCATGACTTTTTCTCTCTCTGCAGAAAGCCAGCTGACCTACACAATCTGGCTCCTGGGACCCACCCACCTTTCTTGACTTTTAATGGAGAAGTCAAGACAGATGTTAACAAGATTGAGGAATTTTTGGAAGAGACTCTTGCACCTCCAAAGTAAGAACTTGGGATTTTTTCAGTCAATATTCCATTTCCTAGGAATGAAAGATGTCCTAAGAGGAGTTCCTAAAAAGCACTCCCTCCTACAATCTTTACTTACAGGAGTAGTATTTATTTATGAAACTTGCTGGCTTCAGTGAGATGACTTCCATGTGTGAAGGTTACTTGTATGACTAATAACTGCAGAATGTTTTCTCTGTACACACTTCAGGATGCCCTTGTATGCAGAATTCAGGAGACCAACACTAGAAAAATTTTTGTAGGGGTCTGGTGTCCACATTTTACAAAGCTAAAAATAACGTGGAATAGATGCCCAGAATTGCCACACAAAATATCTGTGCCAGGAAAAGCATTTTACAGTGAAAAACTGGAGGTTTCTGAGCCGTATGGTATATTAGAAAGGTTGGAAGGGGAACTGATTACAGAGCATGAGAGGCTCTGGAGGCAGAAAAGTGCTCATTATTCTAGTCAAGAAATGACAAGAGCCCACAACTGGAAGTTATAACCAAACTAATTCACATTAAAAATAAGGCACAGATTTTTTTCAATACGAATGATTAACCATTGGAACAAGCTACCAAGGAAAGGTTTAGATTCACCAGATATGCCTTTGTCAAATGTTTTGGACTCAGTACAAGGATAATGGGAAAAAAAATATGTTGGCTTGTGATTTGGACCTTAAAATCTATGAATCAATGAAAATTGGCTTGGTTCCTTATGGAGTGTTTTACCTCCAAGTGAATCAGCAGCTATAGGCCAGTCCTGAGGCAAGAGACCAGATATTTAAATTTTCTGTACTCTGGTCCAAGACCACTGAAGTCAGTAGGAGTCATTAGTTTGTGTTGGTCTCTCAAATCGATATATTCCTTTCTTTGCACCAGATGTCTGTAAAAAAAAAACAATTCAGAGACTGAAAACTTTATGTTCCTTCAGCTGGGTAATACTAACATGCCTTGCTAGTACTTCCTGGAGCACATTTTCAGCGTAGGGAATTAGACACGACTACCATTCATAATAGACCGAGCTGGCTGCCAAACTCCCCTGCACCTTTCTGGAAATTTATGCTTCCATCTGATTTAGGGCCACTGTATCTTGGATCGTGGCAACATAAAGCACCAATACAATTACCTTTGTCCTGAAGCCATCACTGTGTAACTGTGCAAACGTCTGCCTTGACAGACACAGATATTATTAAGAAGGACTTGCCAAGCTGTTGGTTTTAGAAAAATGACAGCGTTAATTGCTGTTCCTCATACGTGGCTTTTTTCTTTCTTCTTGTAAATTGTATTTGTAATCATCACTGTGTTGCTGGTAACAAGATGTTATTCTCCACACTCTTTCTCCCTTTCCAGGTACCCCAAGCTGGCTGCTAAGCACCGGGAATCAAACACTGCTGGAATTGATATCTTTTCCAAATTTTCTGCATACATCAAAAATACCAAGCAGCAGGATAATGCTGGTGAGTAAGATCACTACCAAATGTGCCATGGAGTTTGTGTGCTTAGAAGTGGAATCATTTTGCCATTCTCTCATGGTTTTATCTTAAACTCTGTTTATATGATATCAGGTACTGCTGCTGATCAACTTGAGATGGTTGATTCAGTGGATTCAATTCACACGTCCCTTGTTCAATTAACTACATCTATACTAATAAATAAAACAGTCCAGAGAGTGTTTAGTAGCCCCTTTACCAACTGCCATGACAGGGCTCCTGTCTGTATGGCCCAGCTTCCTCACCACAACAGGACTCCATGCTGCTTACTGGGGGTGGCTGGTGGCCCATACTACCTCCTCTGCTCTGCTCAGGCACTGCATAGAGGAATGTGTGTTGGCTGGACCCCAAAACTGTGCTGGTACCAAAAATTTAGCAGTGAATGAGCGAGTGAGAGCAACCCATGCCCTGACCCTTCATAATGTATGAGATGTGGCCATTGGACTCTTGGCCCACTTATCCCATGATTATGTTACACTGTTATAGCTGATTTGCTCATATAAACTGAGTTACATCAAGATATTAAACATAAAGTAATTAAATGAAAGAGGTGGCTTTAAGAAATGCTATTGCACTCTGTAAGCTTCAGACTTTCCTTCTCTTGTTTGTGTGTCAAAAGCAATGACCCCCCCAGAAGCTGGATGCCATGCATATTTACACGCATCCTACACTGTCTTCTTAATGAAATTGCTTTTCTTCTCCACATTCCTCTGCCCTCAGAGAGGCAAGATTTCAGCTCCAAGCTTCAGATGGAGCTTTCATGTTGCTCCATGAAAGTTAATGGATTTACACTGCCATATCCCTTGAGATGATCTAGTAGAATATTTGCAGTCTCTCACTGATCTACATCTTACTTTATATTACTAGTTTCACAGAGAGAGACCTAAGGTGCTCATACCATATCATTCAGAGAAGACTAGATTTTTTCAGGTTCCAGCTCTGCCACAGATTTCATCTGTGCAATTATATTTCATTGCCTGGGGCTGACCCATGAGATGAGAATGGGTAAATGATGATTTATGTCAGATAAAAATCTGCTCCTAAATATTTCTGCATTGTTAACAGAAGAAAATAATTATAGTGTTTCACTTCTCAGGGATACTAAAAAGTTATTTTTTTGTCTAATGCTAATGGGACGCTCAGCTAACATCTCTGTAGGAAGTTGTAAAAGGGAGATAAATTAAGAGTTAGACTAAATAGATGTTACAGTGAAAATAAAATATCTTGACCATGAACAAGGAATTTTTATGGTCTGCTCCACAACTGTAAATTGTAAATTCATTCTAGAACAGCCCTGGGTATCTGTCCACATGCATAATCCCAACATGTTGCTGCTCGGTGACTCTGCGATATGCAAATCCCTGGACTCGTAAGGGCTGGCAGCTCCAGGAGGTAACAAATGACTGTCCTAGAGGTGTCTCCGTCTGGCCATACCCAGAGCTGGGATTCAAGGTCGGATATCCGCTACTGTGAGATAAGGGATCTCACCCTGCAAAGTGCTCATGGTCGGGTCTCCACATTTTTGCCAGCCGCAGTGTGATTAATGGGAACTTTCCCTAGTTCTGTCCAACAAACTCTCGGTTTAGGGACTATTGAAAAAAAACAGAAAAAAGCTTCCCAATGGCAATTAAGCGGACCAAGGTTATAGAGAAAATAAATGGTGAGTTGCAGGACAGCAACAATACTTGTTCCCTCTCCTCACTCTGTTTTGTTAGCTGCTTCGTGCCCCTGTGATATCCAGATGCTCAGGATGCCTGAACATGCTGATACTCAACTTTCCTCTTTGAAGTTGAGAAATGCTTTTAGCTTAATTTTTTGCAGCTGGAGTGCTGCAGCGCCAGGAGAATAAAGCAGAGATGAGCAGAGTATAGTAGTACCTACGTGTTCTTTCTATCAGTGGAGTAAAGTACCTGAGGACCTCGGAGTCCTTGGGACTCTCAGTGCAGACTTGTGCCACGTGGGAAGGAGACCTCAATTTCAGCAGAGTAATTGACTCTCAGTTTTCAAGGGCTAAGCAAGAATAGCTTTTACCTTATCCCAGGGACATTTTACCCACTTTCTCATCCAGTTCATCTGAACCTACAGCAGTTATTCTGAAGGCTGATTTGGATGGCAGATAATGAGTTAATTAAAAGGTAGTGGTGTTAGTTCTCTTGAGGAGCAGGAAGACTGTGCAAAAAGGAAAGGGCGGCATCACTGTGTATATGTTTCCTAAGGAACCTATTTCTTTTTGATTTGTATCTTTTTAAAATTACAGCACCAGTCAAAAAGGGATCTGGGGCTCTAGCCCTGATCCGATACATGTCCTTTTGCAGCAGGTTTTTCCTATATGCATTATTTTTCCTATATAACAGGAGAAGTAGTTACATATAATTCTGTAATTAAAAAAAAAGCATTTTCTAAATTTAATTACTTAGGAGAATGTCCTTTTCCCTGTCTCCATCTGAGCCGGTGAGATCCAAAATGAACAGAGATTGCTGCCTGTGGTTATCTTAAACAGTTCCTCTACACCCAGCTCTCAGATAAAGGTAACACATCCCAAAGTCATCCTCTATATTGGCTCCCAGCTCCAGCTGACTCAAGTGCTTGGGTTAAGCTGGAAAACCACACCAGTGACTGGGACATCACTTGCACATGATCAAAGTACACAAATAGAAAAAGGCTTGTTAATAAATCTGAAATAGAATGGAGAACCCACACCTTTATATAAAAAATGATTTTAGTTTATTTTAGTTGGCAGTAGGGGAGTGCTGAATACCAAGTGAGCTAAAGCACCGACATCAGGTTGTTTAAATTACGTTCCCTTAACTTGGGAGTCAGGGAGGTGAATTCATTAATGTGTGGGATATCAGGCTGGGAATCTGTAGCATCAGCCTATCTCTAGCTGTGAAAAGTGTGGGTTAGGAGTAATTATATATGATCATTCTTCGTAGCATACTGGTTTAGCAGAGATCATGCGGTAGACGTAACACGAGCTCTCACTACAGCCTGTGGCTACTACATCTTTGCGGAAAAGTGGCGTGAAGTGGTTGGGATAATTAATGAGATTTATGCAGTATGAGGATAGTGGATGCGAGAAATAATGAGAACCTAATGCATGGCAAAGATAAGCCCTGGCTGGTGTCAGGCAACAATTTCAGACTTCAAGTGATGCCATCACTTGGTTGTATCATTGCAATATTTCCTATCCCAAGAGAGCTGGTGAGATGGCACTGATAATAGAATCTGTAGTCTTTAAGTAGCTAAATGATTATTTTTTTCCTGATAGTGGAAAAATTACTGAAGAAAACAAGATCTGTAATTTCTTGGTTTAGCATGTGTCTGAATTCTTGCATGTAAATGAATAGATACAATGGTACATATGTCTGTTTGTTTCTAAGATTGTGATACCCTCTGCTGGCAAATATGTGAATATATAAAGCAAGCAGCTTTACAATCAGGGCTGAAACATCCCCTTAGCAAAATACATTCCCTTCTGTCAAGATAGTTTCCTCATACAAATGCAATATCGTGAAAAGAGAAGGGTTTCATAGTAACCTATCAATTTTGACAAAGTTTGCATGGAAAAAATCATGTTTTTTCTGGATGAGTTAAAATTACTTTGAAGTAAAATGCTTTAACATTGCAGAGAAAAACAGTACTTTTTTTTTCTGGATTCATGCAGTACTTCATTAGCCACACACCGTTATGTTTTATGCCTGGCACAGGAGCAGGTGATAACCTTTTTCTGTAAGTCTGTATGGCAATATGTTATTGATCATGATTCATTTACTTACCAAAGGTATTTGGCAGCTGGGCTGCCCTGATTTAATAGTTCCCTGAATTTCTGATTCTTTTTTTCCATCTTTGTTTTCCTAACTTTTCTGTCTTATAATATAAAAACGTTGAAAGGTTTGGAACGGGCTGGTGAGGGCTGTAAGCCCAGAAGCAAACACGCTCATGCCATATCAAAGTCCCACCACTTTTAAGCTTCTTGAAAGGGAAGGAATTGATTCCAGATTCTCAGGATGTGGCAAGCTGTGTTTAAAGAAAGTGTGTGCATTTATTATTTCAAGTCAGTTCAATTACAACGGGCTTGATTCCTTCCACCCCCCGTGTCACTCGATAATTTTATAACAGGCCTCTCTGAAGGAGTCATCTCCTCATCGTGGGATTAGATCAGCGTCTTGCCTCGGTAGCACAACTGGGTTATTCAGTCCTCTGGCCATTGCCACCAGGCTCCACCGCTTGTCCCTGAAATGACAAGCCCTCATTCACACACAAACAGCAGTCCTTAGGAGAGGGCAGTGGCAGTAGTCTTAAAAAATTATTTCCTGGATGCTCTTGCTCAAGTTTTCATGGCCAATTTGAGAGGTTTTGGTTGCTAAGTGATTGTTTAATATCTCGAAGGGGGTCTTGTCCGAGCACAGGAAAGTAAACCAAGCTCTTGTGAGTTTACTTTGGTTCCTTTGGTTCATGCTCAGCAAGTCACTCAAGCTCTGAAAGTAACCAGGGTAGCAACAATTTATGCATTCATTGGAGGAGGATGAAATTTAATTAATTGGAATGCTGTGTACATACTCGGTATCCTTATTATTTTTTCTTGTGAGGCTATTGGAATGCTGTGTACATACTCGGTATCCTGCTTATTATTTTTTCTTGTGAGGCCGTGTACTGCAAACCAAGGGGACAACCTGTAGTAACCACCCATTAACCGTCAGGCCTGAACTTGTAAGTTCTTTGGCTCATAGAATGAGCCCTTTGATTTCATTTATGAGTTTAAAAAGTTGTTCTTGAATTGAGTTCTTAGGGGGGCACCAGCTCCAGTGTGGGTGGGCGCATTCATTAGTGGTACGGAAGGATATTTCACTGTACGGCTCTTCAGAAGGCGCTGAGCCGGGAGACCACCAACATGATTTCATGCAGAGGAATTTCCAGCCGTCTGACCAGAGGACTCCGCTTGTCTGGTTTGGATTTACATCAAGAGG